TCCAAACAGATGGTTTTGACAGGCATCTGTATTAAAAAATAATGATGAACTTGCGAACAAAATTAAATTTTGGTTATTTATTCTAAGCTACAGAATATTTATATTTTTATTATATAGAGAGGAAAGGAACAAAAAATTGTTGATTTTTAACTTCTATTTCAATAATAAAGCATTGTTATGATCAATAGTTATAGTCTTGTTTTTTGGGGGCTTAATTGAATACATAATAAAATAATACTTTAAATGTTATCGAGCATGAATTTCTCCTATCAGAGGTAAATTTTATCCCATTTGTAATGGTGATGGGAATACTAAACCCTGAATGGTGCCTGCAACCTAAAGTCACAATTTCGAAGAAACAAAATGCATAGTCAAGGTAAAGAAAGTAATTACAAGTGTGGAGACCATTTTGTGAAAATTTAAGTTTAACATGTTAAGCTTATGAGCCAATTTTCCTTTTTACACTCTTACGACCAAGTAGCTACTTCTAAACGGCCTTTCTATTTTAAACACCCCTAATTTAATGCAGTTTCACGATATCCGGCTCTTCTATTGCATAATTTATTGATTGTGTGTAGCGTACATGAAACGTCTTAATATACAATTTCAATAATATCAACTAATTATAATTTCAGTTTTTTGACATTTAAGTGAACTTGAATGCGTTGGTGGATTATATTATGAACGGTACGAGCGAAATCAAAATAATAGATGAATTAAAAATCTTCCTTTTTCCATAAGAAAAATTTACCAGCGATGGCCAGTTGGTTGGAGACCCAAACCGAAAACCAAAGATTCTGTTGGAGAAAGAGCGATCTATATCTGCGTGTCTTATTTTTATTAATTAAATTCGATTAGATGAAATTCATTAAACATAATAATAAAGCATTATTATTATTTTACAGTTAATTTTTTTTAAATAAAATAAAATCTTTATATGATATGAAAATATGTCCATATACTTCCTTAATAACAATCGAATTCCCAAAATAAGAATACTACTACATATGTAGCTTTACGTTTATCAGATCAAAACCCCGAATTCTTGTAAAACTTCTTCATGATTTATAATATTTGTATAAGTTACCACAAACTGAATACATAATAATTATTATCATTTATTATTTTCATTTCACGAAAGAAATATATATCTAATCTAAGGCAATATGTGGTGGTCATTATCAAATAAGGGAATCTTGTGTATTGCGAGGTATATTTACGAATTTGATTATTATTATCAATAAAAAAAAGTCAAGTTTACTACTCGAAATACAGCTTTTGTTTCAAATATTCTTTAACTCGAAATCCAGTTTTAATTACTGCCAAGTGGATAAGGGATCTCGTTTAACAATTTTTGGCTTGATATTAAGAAGGAATGGTTACGACTTCGTGTCTGCTGCGCGAGCGGGTTTAATTTTATTGATACATGACAAATCGATTTTACGACTGATGCTTTTTCTGGAAGGATAGGTTTATCATACTTGGTAATATAAAATAAACGTTGTTTATTATGTTTAATAATGAATGTTAATGTTACCGCCGATGACATTATTGCTACCTCCACCGCTTATTGATTTATTACTGTTGCTGCTGTTGCTATTGGTGTAATTATTGGTGTATCCGTTATTATGATTATTCCATTTCTTTATGTAACCAATAGATTCACAATTGTAGGGACAAGGTGGCAATGTTGTTCCACAGGGTACTGGCGAATGGAATGTTATACTACCGCATTTGCAGACAAGTGACTTATTGGATACTTCTTTACACGATCCACAATCACCTTGATGACTGGATCTCTGACAATAATGATTGCCACACTCTAACAATTTTCTACATACGAGTTTACATGTATAGATATCATTGTAATTATTATTGTTAATACTATTATTATTGCTACTATTATTACTATTATTATTAGCATTGTTACTATTACTTTTATTGTTATTGGATGTTGTAACATTGCTCTAAACAAAATCACATTGAGAATTAAATTAATTATTAATGTGCATCTATTGAATATTTTCATTCATAATAATAATTATTAAAACATTTATTTTTTAATCATTAACTAACTAACCTTTTTAACATTATAAATGTTTTGATCTCCACATGCTTTATTACATAATATTATCTGCCCACTATTTTCAGCAGCCTCGGGGCATATTTCATTGAATTTTATTCTACCACATTGACATTTGACTGTTACTTGAGTTTTGCATTTACATCCATCGATATGAGAGCAGGTATGTTGACACTGATGGCCGCAACTATATAATAAATAAATAAATATTAAGTACGTTAGTTATTAATTATTTTTGAGTGAAAAGTATTTATTTAAAAAATTTTTTTTTTACATTACTTCAAGGTTTTATTGCAAGGATTAGTGCATGGTAGACATGGCCCAGGGTGACAAGGTCTTTGATTGTCAAAAAAGAAAAATTTTAAAACATATATTATGCTATGTGTAATTTAATTCACAATTAATTCAATGGATAATCATAATAAAGATAATTACTGTTGACAAGCATATGAACAGCTGTTATTATCACATTTTTTTCCACATAGTTTACCACAACCATGTGGTGTTGTATTTTTCTTGCTTAATGGATTCCTGGTCTTACCTTTAAACATTTAATAATTATTTATTTATCTACTTGTTCAAACTTAAATTCAAATTCATTCCCCCCAATAATTGCATTATATACATACCACAGAAGCATTGGTATGAATCTGGGAATGATTTTGATGATATATCACAACCTGGGCATTTCCAAAAAATTTCTCCATAATAATAAGTTTCCATGATCTGCTTTGATGCCAAATTTTTGATACAATCAAGATGAAATATTGTGCAACAAAGTTGACAAGTCCAGGTTTTTTGGTAGAATATTATTGATTTATAACATATTTTACATTCATATTGGCCAGTTTGTAGACATTTTATTATATTTGTGATATAATTATTGACCTCATCAACTGTGTATTTATTTAATGGGAATTCTTTCAACAAGTTTTTTCTCAAGATATTGTTTTGGTAATTTGGTGCTCCAGGTGATGGTGGCTGTAAAAATGTTGTTGAAGAACAACTTCTATCACAAGTATTTCCATCGTTACCATCATTTGATTCAAGATCATTATTGTTATTGTCATTTCCAGATTCACCACTTTCATCACCATCACCATCACCATCATCTACTTTAACACCTACTTTAACTTCATCATTATCATCATCATCATCACCATCATCATCCTCACCATCACCATCACCATCACCATCGCCACCTTCACCACCACCACCATCACCATCATCATCAGAATCTAATTCAATAATGAATCGTTTATTCACATGAGCTATACCTATTGAAACAGAATCATTAAATTTACCACCTCTATAATTGTGGTGATATGCTCCAGTGAAATTTCCATTGTAATTATCGTTGCTGTCAGTGAGAGCATTATTATTAATGGTATAATAAGTGCTAATATTATTAGAGTAGCTAGGATGATTGTCCTTCATAGTAGTATTGTTGGCATAATTTTTATTATTATTGTTGCCATTAAAATTAAAATTGCTCTTGTAATTATAATAATTGCAATTATTATTATTATTATTATTATTATTTACATTATTATTGTAGCTAATATAGCGTTGTTGGTGGTAACTGCTGTTGTAAATTGTAACTGATTTTAACATTTTTAATATTATGATGGATTATTGGGGAAAAAAAAAGTAAATTTGATCTTTTGATCTTCGATCAGTCAATTAT